AAAAACGTGGAGAAGGCTGCGATTTCGGCGTCTTAAGTAGGCTACGAACACCTGCCAATCGGGGGGAAGGTTGTGATTTCGGTGTTTTCAAGAGTTTATGAACGGCCGATATCCTCGGTGTGCGCTCGGGCCTCGGTGTCTTCATTAGCTTCCGAACACCCGTCAATCGAGGGGAAGGTCGTGATTTCGGTGTTCTCACGAGTTTTTGAGCGGCCGATATCCTCGAGGTTCGCTTGGGTGTCGGTGTCTTCATTAGTTCCCAAACACCCGTTAACCGCGGAGACGGTTGTGATTTAGGTGTTTTTAAGTGTCCCCGAGCGGTTGACAGTCTTGAGATTCTCTTCGATTTTTGCGTTTCCATGGGTGTTATATGATCTGTCAACCACGAGGGTCGCGATCTTACCGATCTTGGTGTTTTACGAGCAGATGAAGCAGCAACTGGTGTTTGTTTTCGTTCGATCTTCTTGGCAGAGGTAAAGGCAGAAGAGGCCAGTGGTGTAGGTGCCTCAACCGCACTCGACGCTCGAGAAACTTTCGAAGTTCTTGGGGCAACAGGGGATTTCAGAACCTCATTAACTCCCGACAAGCTTAATGAATACCTAGATCTTCGATTTCCTAGAACATTTTTAATACTGAATGTTCTTGGGCGTCGTTCAGACGCTGGCGTTTTTCCGCGTCTTAAAACACGTGCATATGGTTGAGATCTTCGTGTCTTCCGAGTCGACGGAGACTTATAAACCAAGGAAGGCTGAGAGAAGGCTGCGGTAGAAACATCAGAAAGGTCAGATGTGCGACTCCAATTGGGGGTAGTTGCCACTGATTGTGGTGTCAAGGCATGAACGCCAGAAACCTTAGCAGACACTCTGGACGACCTCGAGACCGACCTAGGAGAAACAGATGCACTTGTGGAAGTCTCTAGCCTTCTGCTTGACGCAGACAAACGGACAGACTTCTGCGTCAACGTCGACTCAGACGCTATGCTCATCCTTGACTTCCGTCCTGTGGATGAAAGCCGCATATGCGATGCAAGTAGTTGAGGTGATCTAGGCGTCTTTGCTAAACTGCTGGTAGACAGGCGGAGATGGACCAAAGACGTGGCTGACAACGGCGACTTGTTGACAGATTTTGTTGCCGAGAGAACATTTGGTGTCCTGCCTCTAACTGACGGATGCTTAGATTTTGCTGGAGTCGGGGAAAGTAGGATATCCACAGCATCGCTCGAAACTGGCGATACCAAGTTACCTGCGTCTGTCATGCTGCTTGGTGTCTTAACTGCACTAGACCTCCGACTTTTGGTA